ACATAAATGCTAAATGGTTTTTTTTTTTAATATCCTGTATAATTAAAAGTCAATATTTAATAATAATGTAAATTTATACATACATATATATGTATATATGTATATAATATGCATATAATATGTATATAATGTATATAATATGTATATAATATGTATATTATATACATATATACATATATACATATATATATATGTATAAATTTACATTATTGTTAAATATTGACTTTTAATTATACAGGATGTTAAAAAAACCATTTAGCATTTATGTGATAGATAATACACACCATACTGAGTAAAAAAATCTTAGAACATAGGTCGAAACCGTTTTTGACTTAGAAGAATTACGTGATCGAATTTAGTGTGCTTATCAAAATAATTCAACAGAGATCTAAAATTTTTGAGTTCGCAATTCTATAAGAGAAAGATGCCAAATATATTTTTTTACTCAGTATGGTGTATACTATCTACCATATAAACAGCTGAATAACTTTTTTGAATATTCTATATATGACATGCATATATATCTATATTTTCTATATATAAAATTCTTGTATATTAGAATACAAATGCTTTCATTTTGAACTTACTACCACCAAAGCCTCCGTTGGTTCCATAAAAAAATTATATACTGCTATGAATTAAATATTTAAAAAAGTATAGAAAGAAAACAAATTATCTTTGATTTAATTGTTCAAAATTAATGAAAATGAAAAATTAATTACCGAATCCACCGCCGCCTCCGTGGCCACCGCCGCTTCCGTGGCCACCGCCAAAACCACCCCCTCCATATCCACCACTGCCGCCTCCATATCCACCATGTCCACCTCCACTTCCTAGTCCACCGTGGCCACCACCACTTCCGAGTCCACCGCCACTTCCGAGTCCACCGCCACTTCCGAGTCCACCGCCACTTTCGAGTCCACCGCCACTTCCGAGTCCACCGTGGCCACCGCCTATTCCACCATGACCAGTACTACCTCCGAGTCCACCTCCGAAACCACCTCCTTGACCGCCACCATGTCCACCGCCTCCGAAACCACCTCCTTGACCGCCGCCACCGTGTACCACCGCCTTCCGAAGCCACCTCCTTGACCGCCGCCTCCGAAACCACCTCCTTTGACCGCCGCTCCGAAACCACCTCCTTGACCGCCGCCATGGTGTCCACCCCCTCCGAAACCGCCGCCACCGTGTTCACCACTTCCAAAACCACCTCCTTGACTACCAAAGCCACCGCCTCCGTATCCACCGCCACTTGACAGAGCTGAAGATTGTGCACCCGCCGAAGCACTACCGACAGCTTGTGAATTGGATTTGGAAAAACTGCTGCCACCGCCAAGTGAACTTGCGCTAGCTGAACTACTGGCACTACTGGAAGCGAATGAACCTCCGCTGTAACGCTTTGAACGCAATAATTCGACTTCTGCAACAAAAAAGATTGTTTTCGTATCATCAACTTAAATTTAATTTAAAATAAAATCACAACAAAAGAATAATATTAAATAAACTACAACTCTTTTTATGTTACATGAGAAATTCATTCTTATGTTATATAAGAAATAGTCATATTTTTTATGAATTTTTCTTCTTCATATGAAACAAAAATGCATAACAGCTTTAATGCTCATTAGAAATTAAACGAAATACTCGATTATCTCGGATCAGAGTTCAAGTATCTATAAACATCAATTATCTATATGCAACTATAACAAATTTTCATATTTGTAGCAAAAATTCATTATCAAGTTTCTTAATAAAAAATATAAAACTAGGGAATACTTTATATTTTTATGAGTACTTTGAACTCGAAAAGGATAAAACTACGAGGCTAATCTTATAAAAAAGAAGACGCGCATTTACACATATTTATGAATATTACGTCACAAGAAAATTATCGCTAATTTTTTACTAATAGTAAAATCTTGGAAACACAGACTGATATTTTGTGCTTTTATTTAATGAACATATACATGTATATATTGTATCATTTCATTATTTTATTATTTTATTTTTTAAGATTTTTTATTTTTTACTTTTGTTATGTATTATGTATAATACAATATTAAGTACATGTATTACATATATATATATTAATATAAAATTATATATTAAAATAAAAAAATGTCATTCAAATTATTGAAATTTTCTTTTATATATTTCTAACAAATTTCTTCTTTTTTATAATAGATATATTCAGATAACAAAGATAATGGAAGCGGAGCATATTGAACGGTGTTAATGATGATGACAAAGTGATGTTAGAAGATGGAAGCAATTTACCTCGTGCTTGGATACATGTTGCAAGTAATAAGGCCAAAAGGCCGATCGCCCGATACTGCCACATGACGATATCTGACTTCTATCCCGATCAGCGGCAGTTACCAAGTCTTTATATCTTGTCTCCCACTTTAGTCGCTTATTCCTTCCTAAAACACCGGTTGCTTCACTGAGGATCACAGATTGGATTGAGAAACAAGAAGAACAAAAAATACGTCGGACCAAGGCTAAGGTAATCTCGATGATAGACGTATTATTCTGATTGGAAATCCATCCGGGCCTGTCATTCTATCTTGTTATTGTTTATCTTTAGGCTTATATTTTATTGAATATCGACACTTTTTACTGTTATAAAACACAAAACAATATAAGCGAAATTTGCCTTTAAAAAGATTTGGACACAATAGACTGTAATTTTTTTTAAAAGTTAAATTAGTCAAAGTAAATTAAATTTTATAAAAAAGAAGAAGCTAAATATATTCGAATAAAATTTTCTTGAGAATGAGTTGAGTTTATAAAATAATAGCCAGCATCACACAAGTTACATCTCTTTTCAAAGAAATATGAGAAATACAGGAATTTTTCATTTGGTTATTTATAGAGAAAAAATATTTATTATACGAAGTGAAACGATGAACGAGTCTCTAGAAGGCCAAGCAATATATGTAAGCAATATATGTTGTCGGAACAGGAAATTTAATCACAATATGTTAACTAAGAAAGTCATAGTCAACAATAAAGACACTATGTGTTAGTTAAGAGAGTCATATAGCAAAGACACTTTCTCCTATTTAATAAAGTAAACTGCTATCATAATTTATTACTGTTATAAATATGATATGCTAAGTATTAAATATATATTTGATCATTGACATTGTCATGGTTTAATAATTATCAGTTCAAATAGCTACTGATACATCTAAGTTGATAATGCAAAATATTTTACGGGAAGGTCATTCGCAGCCTCCAGCGGATTTGTCTTAATAAATCTCAATGTCATTTTACAGATTTATCATCTGTGCCAATCGTTAATACAAAATAAGACATATATTCACATTATCAATAGTAATGATTTTCACAAATTATTCTATAAAGAAATAAACCTCAAAAAAATTTTTAAACATTAGAATGTTATAAAAAATATAATTTAGTTAATAAATATTATTTTTATTATTTTAAATTTCTTAATTTGAGAGACAAATAATTATGTGTTTTAAAGCGTAATAAATATTAGAGAATATAAATATCTCTTTAAAAGTAAGATTATTAAATCTGTAGTTATGTTTTACTTGTTTAAAAATATTTCTTTTTTTTTTCATTTTGTAAAAGTTATATGTAATCATTTATGCAAATGTAATTATCAATTTAAGGAAAACATGATTCAGTAAAATTAAAAAGAAAATTAAAAACTTAATATTTCTAGTATTACTTGTTTATAACTGATATTAAGTTAATTTATTAAGATTTATAAATTCATATTCATTAAAAAATATATAAACTGATACAATATAAAGGATACATATCATTAATAAATATTAAGATTAGATCCTTGAAAAAGACTGCGATGCAATAAAGCCATAGAAAAAATAGTTAATTTCATAGATTACCGCAATCTATTTCTTGAGATATATCTAGACTTTTAGTCGCAATAAATTATTGCACATAATATTTGCATAATATATAGTATACTTTATATGGTTTAGGAATAAAATAAATGTAAAATGTAAATATGTAAAATAATCCGTCTTAGATCCAATATAAAATATCCATAATATAAAGTTAACAATAGAAACTATAATTGGTATTTTTCATAAGTTATGAGATAAAAATAAAACATTAAAAATTATTGATTTGCATTTTTAATATTTAAATGTGTACATTAGAAATAATAAGATGGGTTGCGGTTTTATTTAGATTTATCTTTAAATCACGCATAATGTGTATGTGTATGTGGTTCGACGAAACGTATATTCTACGAAAAGTGTGTTATAAAATACACTATGTAAATTAAATTATAAGAAAAATATTAAATATAAAACTTACTTTTTGTCTCCGTCCATGATAGATACAACACATCTATTACTTATGTTAAAATGCATTTTATTAGAACCAAATCTTCTTTCTTAATTAATCTGTCTTTATTCGAATTTTTATTAAATCTTTTCATTTGATTTGTATAAAGTGTTATAAACATCAACTGATTAATGAAATAGCCACTTACTTAATCTTGAATGAAGAAAATATGATATTTAATTAAAATATAAACTGTTTTAAAAAAAGAAAGATTATTATTTTCCAAGAACTACACGAACATTATTTCTACAATTTGATATTATCGCAATTAAATTAAACGGGGAAGTACAATCCTCCAATCGACTTAAAGATTAATATGACGCATAATATTAAGAGAGAGTTCTGTGGCTTCTGTCATTGGCAATTTTTTGATGTTTTCTTGACGCAATGATTTATAATTCGCATACTCAGCGTAGAGTGAATGACATAGGAAAACTGATATTTATTTAATGATTTAATCTCACAATCATTCTTTTAATTAAAAATCATTGTTTATATCAAAATAATCTATGAAAACTTTGATTATTTACTTTCCATTATTTACTTTAAATATTAATTCAATTGATTTATGTATTTAACATAAATTTACATGTAGTACAAGTAAGATAAAAAAATTATGCAAAATAAATCATTTTCAAAGATCATTATAAAAGATTCTTGAAATATATAATTATAAATTCTTTATTTATTTCTTCGAATGGAAAACAATAGCTTTAATACAATCAATCTCGTGTATACAATCTTTCTGTGTGTAAAAATAATGTATACGTAATGTGTACAGGTTCTGGGTGTAAAAATAATGTATACGTAATCAATAGAAGTGTCACATTTATAGAATATAGAATGTATAGATTTATAAATTCATAAATCATCATCTGTTGTTTTTCTCAAATCTCAGAAAAAGGTCATTAAAAACAGATAAATAATTATCTTGAAAGTATATTTTTTTATTCTCCAATATCGTTGGATATAAATATTTCATTCGTCAATCGATAATTACTGATTAACAGATAATGAGATCCGTGAACATAGATTTACCGCTAATCTCACGAATTAGTGTTTTTATCAAGAATTCAAGTTTAAGATCTATAATTATATTGTTTATTATATGTTATGTTTATTATATTGTGTGCTTTGTTAATTTATGTTTTAATGGATGCTAATTCACAGACATTAATAAAGGAATTAAAACATTGTTAACTGTAAATATTATCTGCAAATTGTTAATTTAATATTTAGTATAAAACAATTGTAATTTTTTTCAAGTTTATCAAATTTTCGATATTTTTGCTTAAACTAATAAATTAAATTTCTAATAAATGATGAAGAAATCCGGAATTGTATGCTTGCAATATAGAAAATAAAATATATTTAACTACATCTTAAAACTAAATAATATTTTTAATTATATTCTTAAGAAGATATTCTTTTTAGTATTTTTGTAAGTTAAAAATATAAATATAAAAAAAATGATTTTACGTAAAAGAATAATAAGACGTGCTAATAAATGTAAAGAATAATAAGACAGTTAGTCTGTATTATTAAACAAATTTAAATACAATAAATGCAATAAATCAATATTAGTATAAAATTTTTTTCCAAGGCTGCTATATCATGTATTGAGAAAATAGGATAATAGATATCAAATACTGATCCTTATACTGATTATAAATAAGTATATTCCCTGATTTCAATTACCGAGTACCGTTCACCGTTTTGTCCCATAAATCAAACAGCTGTGGAAATTCCACGCATTTTTTTTTCCAAGGTTTACATAAATACCGATTCTTGGTGGTTTTTCGATTTCCGGTAAAAAAAATTAATTTGAACGAATACGTGAACACAAGAAAAACGAATAAAAATAGATATGTTGGTTATTATAAGCGATTGTAGATTATCGACACACATCAGTAGTAACTACATTGAGTTCTCAGTATTTTTTTGTATTTGTAGCGAATAATTACGGATAACATCTCGCATTATTCATATTTAAGTGTATAATCTTTAGAAACAAGTGATTTGTATGCCCTTTTCTAATTACGATTATAGAACTGCGCGAATAAAATGCTGCATTGAATTAGAATGAATTATTTGAATTTATTATTATCTGGAGTTTCTGATGTATTTTTTTATTCATTTTTGCGTATTTAGAAAAATATATGTTTTTTACAAATTTCCTTTTATATATAAGAAAAGTTTTTTTTTTTGCTAATTATAAATGTTTGACTTTACTTTGTTAATTACGAAACACATGTACTTCTGCTGAAGCTCGAATTATTATGAAAATAATTGTACTACAATCAATGAAAATCAATGAAAACGTAACAATGTTCGCTTAATTAATAACAAAATTTACAAATAAAAAGAAAATACGCCGTTGTCCAATATTTTTAATATTTACAGACTTGATTTCCCAGGATCTGCGATAATGGGACGAAGAAAACATTTTTATCATTGATTCATTTTACGAGAGTTCATAGGAGACAGATGATCTTCTTTTTATGAGGAAGATCATCTTTTTATGTAGCTGTATGTATTTCGACCTCCCGCATATCAAGTTTCAATGGTTATTCATGAATACGTGAACAGCTTATAAAACCGCTCGGCGATTCTCCACATTTACTGTGAGATTGCAATCATAAAAAAAAAGCATACTTACGAAACTCATTAAGTTCATTACTGGCTCGTAGAACGGGCCAGAAACGTTTTAGCATACATTACAAGCGACTTTTTTCTCACGATTGACGCATACGTACGATTTACGAGCGGCGCGACGCCGCTGCCGTTGTGTATTTTCGATCATGAAGCTACTCATGAAGATAAACACAAGTGGGATTATTAAGATTTTTTTCTTCATTGCAAGTACCGCACAGAGAGACCGCTTTTCGCAAATCAACGTAAAGAAATATGATAATTACTTCTCTCGACAGTCCAACCTTTTATTTTAATATATAGAATATCCGGAATCACGATATCCTTTGATAGTCGCGGTTATTTTTTTTAGTTATTTCTTTTTTCTTAGCAAAAATGATCATTATCTACTATGCCTTTCTACTATTGCCTAATAATTTTGGCAATTCACCGATAATTTTTTTTATTTCTAAATCTCTTGAGGTTTTAATTTAAGGATGATTTTGCGCATTGGCCTATTTAAATTGAATTAATTTAATTAATTGAATTATATATAAGTTGTATATCGTCCATTTATCTATTTATTTTTCTAAGTTTTTCTTTTTATCTTTTTCTAATATTTTTCTTGTAAACGAACATCGATAGGATAGTTTTTAGATTATTCGATGATTTTCGAATTGCTGCCTACAGCGAGGCATATCTGTCAAATCGATCGAATATTGTTATATAATGTGAAACCAGTAACTATACGGAAAAACCGGAATTTTTTATTTCATTCACTTTAGACAAGAAACAAAAAATATCACAAACAAAATTCTGCTGTGACATTATATTGAAAGTAATTATTGACTTGCTTTTTTCTTCCTAATGATTTGTTAACACAGAATCATAATAGCATAATGGATTATAAAAGCCAAATATAAAAAGCCTTCGAAAATATTACTTTGTCTATATGCCAAATACGTTTTAAATGCAATTAAATAAAAACTATCGAGGAATTGCTTCGACAAAAGATTTTGCGACGTTGCAGTACATATATAAAATTAGAAAATGACCGATCCATTTAGTAGCTTCATAATTTTTATCTCTTTTCGACGTTTCTAGAAAATAGCTATTATTGTAAAAAAAAAATGTAAGCGCAATTGCATTAATATATGTTTATTGCAGTAAAACGTGATGATAATACATAATTATGACATTTCTTGTTATTTCGCTTGTTTATCTTAACAGTAAGAAATAATTTAAAAAAGATATTTGGAATATATGATATGTAATTGAAAGACGGAGTACATAGACAATCTCTGAACAATTTAATAATTTTTAATACAAATATTCAATTGCAAAATGACACATCAATAGGAATAAACTGTTTTCTCCAGAAAAATATTTTTAAATTAGATTGAAAAAAGAATCAATTCCATGGTTATCAATTTCTTTCAATATCACTCCTATTAAAGATATCTTTTATAAGACTAGAATAATCTGAGGAGATAATTTAAAGGAAAGGATCATTGATGCTATTGCTATTGTTGATGAAATAATATTAAAACAAATGTAGAATTGAATGTGAATTCTGTCTTAATATGCTCTTTGTACAACGAATAAAGTTCACGTGGAAATTTTCTAAATTGTGTGAAAAAAGCTTTTACGATGTTCTTTTATTATATAACAAACAAATAGAATTATCTCATTTATATTCTTAAGAATTTTCTTAAATTGTTCGGAGATTTTATTTTACGCAGATGGATTTTACGCTATTTTGATATCGGAGATTGATGGATTAAATTATGAAGTAATTGATTAAGTTTTTAGAAGGAAATGTAGAATGCTACACAGAGATCCGTTATGGCAAATGCTACTTATATAACCTATGTTCTCATGCCAGTTGTTTAATCTGAATTTAATATTCATGCATTTTAGTCTGATTAGAATATAATGTATTTTGATTTGTCCTATTTTTATTATTGCTGTATCTAAATTAATAATAATGACTTATTGATTAACTTCTTATTGTAAATATATTACATGCTAAGACTGTTCTTCTGGGGCTGCACCTTTTGTGTTTAACATAAGGCAAGTAACTAAATCTTTAGTATACTATTATTATTATTATTATTATTACTATTATTATTATTCTAATACTCAAGTTATTTTTACTGGAAGATATATATTTGTTGCGTGGTTGAACATTCAGAAAGCATTGCATATCAGATATTTTACGAAACAAAATTGAAGTCTATTTCTAACAGAAATCTATAATTTACATTAAACAAACTTCTACACAGATATCTTCAATGAATTAGTTAAGCTTTTATATTTTATTCATGAATTTTCAATCAAGCAATTTACGAATGTA